CAATGGGGTCGGATGTACGCCCTGGCATCCCTTGGGGCTCCGCCTCTTTTGCGTGGCAGGCGTGGGACAATGTGCACTGCCAAGGGGTCGGATGTACGCCCTGGCGTCCCTTGGGGCTCCGCCTCTTTTGCGTGGCAGGCGTGGGACAATGTGCACTGCCAAAGGGTCCGATGCACGCCCTGACGTTTGTTGTGCTCCGCCGCTTTGGCGTGGCAGGCGTGGGACAATGTGCACTGCCAAGGGGTCTGATGTACGCCCTGGCGTGCCTTGGGGCTCCGCCTCTTTTGCGTGGCAGGCGTGGGACAATGTGCACTGCCAAGGGGTCGGATGTACGCCCTGGAGTCCCTTGGGGCTCCGCCGCTTTTGCGTGGCAGGCGTGGGACAATGTGCATTGCCAAGGGGTCGGATGTACGCCCTGGCGTCCCTTGGGGCTCCGTTTCTTTTGCGTGGCAGGCGTGGGACAATGTGCAATGCCAAGGGGTCGGATGTACGCCCTGGCGTCCCTTGGGGCTCCGCTGTGGCAGGCGTGGTTCCGTCGCTTTTCCGTGGCAGGCGTGGGACAATGTGCACTGCCAAGGGGTCGGATGTACGCCCTGGCGTCCCTCGGGGCTCCGCCTCTTTTGCGTGGCAGGCGTGGGACAATGTGCACTGCCAAGGCGGTGGATGTACAGGGTCGGAGTACGTCCTGGTGCCTCCTTGGGGCTCCATGCCGCTTTTTGCGTGGCAGTGTGGCAGTCACTAACACACTCACTCACTTCACTCATAACTCACTCACTCACCCACCCACCCACCCACTCACTCACTCACTCACTCAACTCATTCAGTCACGCAGGATGGATGGATGGATGGATGGATGGATGGATTGATGGATAGATAGCCAGAGAGATCGATCGATGGATAGATAGATTGATTGGTAGATAGATAGATATTCTGATGTATGGACTATGGACAGATAGACAGATAGATAGATAGACAGGTCTGATAGATAGATAGATAGATAGATAGATAGAGAGATAGAGAGAGAGAGAGAGAGAAATAGATAGATGGATTGATTGATGGATCGATGGATGGATAGATAGATAGATAGATAGATTGCTAGCTAGATCGATAGATAGATGGATAGATAGAAAGAGAGATCGATCGATAGATAGATAGATAGATAGATAGAGAGATAGATAGATAGAGAGATAGAGAGATAGGTCTGATAGATAGATAGATGGATGGATGGAGAGATAGACAGATAGAGAGAGAGACATAGATGGATGGATGCATGGAGATAGATAGATTGATAGATTGATAGATATTCTGATGTATAGACGGATAGATAGATAGATAGATAGATAGATAGAGAGATTGTTAGATAGATAGCTTGCGTCGCCCTGCCCTGTTTAGCTTGCGTCTCCCTGCCACGTTTTAGCTGGCTTAGCCGCTTGCAGTACATATGCAAATATGTTTCCACCTGCTTCAACACTGAGGTCGATGCCTTCGTCCTTACCAAACGGTTCGGCTTCGGTCGAGCCGACACCACGTTGGCCGGTGGTGGGGACATTAATGGGAGGCCGTGCAAATCCACGACAGCCTTCTCGCCAGACCCTGCCAAGGGTCTGCTGCGCAGCGCCAGTTGAAGGAGTTTTGATGATTACTTTCAACTTACAGCTTCCAACGTTTTTTTTGCGAATTTTGCTTTCAACGGGCTTGGAAGCCGGGGCCACCGTGAGGTCTGTACGTCATGTAAAATAATGTTTGAAGATGCTTTCTGATTTGGTGATGACGACGGAACTTTCTTTCCGGTAGGTTGAGCTCCGGGCATTTGCGATGGAGGGAAAAGAACAGGTTCATCTTCAGTCCTGTTTCATTATCGATCTGCAGGTACTGACCAGAGATCCTCTCGCAGCTGGCTTAGCCGCTTGCAGTACATATGCAAATATGTTTCCACCTGCTTCAACACTGAGGTCGATGCCTTCGTCCTTACCAAACGGTTCGGCTTCGGTCGAGCCGACACCACGTTGGCCGGTGGTGGGGACATTAATGGGAGGCCGTGCAAATCCACGACAACCTTTCTTCCCAACGACACATCGCGCCCTTCCCACAACACATAACACACAACACGCAACAACACACAACCCACAAGACACAACGCACAACAACACACAACCCACAAGACACAACGCACAACACACAATGCGTTACACACAATACACAAAACAGAACACACAACACACAACACACAACAAACCCAATACCTTTTACACAACTGAACTTACCTTACCCTACCCACAGCACTCAACTTACATCCCTCTCTCTCTTCTATCACATCTTCGCTTCCCTTTTCTTCTTGTTCTGCTTCCTTCTTTCCTGTCTTCTTCTTCTTCTTCTTTATCCGATCAACTTCAACCCCTTGTGCTTCCACTAGGGTCACTTGTGTCTTCAGAGAGAATGTACCATTGCTGCAGCAAGAACTGCTCCCTGACAAAAAATAAGGACTGCTCCCTTCTCAAAAATAAAGACTGCCTGCTTCCAAAATAAGGATCGCTACTTGAAAAATAAGAGATGCTCCCTGACAAAGATAAGAACCGGTTCCTTCAAAATTAAGAACTGCTCCCTGACAAAATTAAGGACAGCTTACTCACTCACTCACTCACTCACACTCACTCACACTCACTCACTCACTCACTCACACTCACTCACTCACTCACTCACTCTCTCACTCCCTCCCTCACTCATTCACTCACTCACTCACTCGCTCGCTCACTCACTCACTCCCTCCCTCACTCATTCACTCACTCACTCACTCGCTCGCTCACTCACTCACTCACACTCACACTCACACTCACACTCACACTCACACTCACACTCACACTCACTCACTCACTCCCTCACTCATTCACTCACTCACTCACTCGCTCGCTCACTCACTCACTCCCTCCCTCACTCATTCACTCACTCACTCACTCGCTCGCTCACTCACTCACTCACTGACTGTACATGAACATACATACATACACACAAACTCACCCACCATCACCGCTCCATCACTCTTATACTTCCTCTTCCCTTCTTGCTTTTCTATGATCAGTCTAAGTCTAAAGAAGTTGGTAACATGTGGGGTTACCCGGTCCTTTAATTATTTTTCTGTTCTTATTTCTTTTTGGATTGAACCTGAGCCAGTCAGCAAACTATGGAAATTGATGGCATCCCAAGCCACAACCGTCCAAAAGAAGTCTCTATAAAACCAAGGACCCAGGTCCAGCTTGTATCGACATGCCTTTCAAACAGCCCCACTATAAAATCAGAGACCAGGTACCCCAATATTAAGGGTCCACATGTTTCAGTAGAATTTGTGAAACCACCATTTTGGAGATCCTGATTTTATAGTGGACCAGCTGAATGACCTTAAAGGAAAAAAAAACGTCTCCAAATGTGACCCTGGTTACAAAACAGGCATTTGTAGCCATGTGGTGCCTTTTGTTTCTTGATTTTATAAAGTTGTATTTCTTGCAACCTGATTGTGTCTTTCTTGATTTTAGAGAGATTCTCAGAATGTACCATTGTTATAGTTGGATCCAGGTACCTCGATAGAATGGCGGTCTATGGGAGACCCTTGAAATTCACAAGGGGGTCAATTTCAGTCTAAAATTATCTCAGATGTTTCAAGGTCATTTTGATGTAGATGTTTGAAGCGTCAAAAGAAAAGAAGGTTGTTTTCTGTTTAAAAATCGTTCACGTCAAGAGAAATGTGAAAAAATGGAGTTGCCACAAAGAATGGCAGAGGCGGTACTACTTATTTCTGTCAACTTAAATGTTCTGGTCTGGAAAGAAGGAGGGGGGAGCATGGGGGGGGGGAATGGCTGTCTATAAAATCAATGAAAAAGGGGTCCTGGTAGTCCGTCTGGGGTTGTGAGTTGGCAACTAACTGCAGCACCCGAAAAACTGCAGCAGCTTTTTTCTTGAGCCCTAACTTGAGCCATACAAGTAGCGAAGCGTTCAGCCATGTCCAGCTTTCAGCCATGTCCATTTCGTCCTAAGTGCAGGGGCCATGCTTATAAAAACCAAGCTCACCCTTCTACACATCACTGCTAGGTACAATGAAGCTGGAGTGTTTCACGTTCACACATCCACACTCCCCCTACCTCATTTTGAGGTACCTAACAAGACAAAAAAAACTCTAGCGCAGCAGCTCCTGAACCAAAAAAGCCGCAAAAGCGCTTAGACATCCTCTATGATTTCACTCCAGCTGCGCTCGCTCAGTTCCTCTTCTCCAGGAGATAGTCCACCATCTCGTCGTCGGAGATCAGAAAGGATCGGCTGAGCCCTTTCCACAGCTGAAGTCTGCCACCTTGACTTAGCCCTTGGTGCCCTCGAAGTTGGTAGCGGAGCATAGGACTTCGCCACTGCAGCGCTTGGCACAACGCTTCCAAGGGTTTCCGAACCTTGCATTTCGGAAAGCAAAACTCGATGAGCTCCTTCAGCGCCAGGTAGTTCACGACCTCCAGGTTGAAGCGCTCCACGATCATGTGGTGCTCCAAGGTCGCTCCCAGCACTGAGCCCATCACGCTTCTTCACCTTGAAAAAGGTCCATCCTGTCCACTGGCCACTTCCATGATCCCTCACAGGATCAGTCCAGCGGTCCTGGTAGATGAACTTCTCCTTGGGCTCGGTCACAAAGCCAATCGTCACTCGATCCACCTCCAGGTTATCAGCCGCTAGTGGTGCAGCCTTGTGCACGGGGTGGAAGTATCTCTTGTGAGGCTCTCGGTGACAACGAATTAGCCATCCATCCAAGACCTGATCCGCAATCCACCGATCTTTTCCTCCAGGCGGAGGTGGTGCCGCAAACTCCACATTCCCCCACGGTCTGGTAGTAGAGCTCGGCATCCTCATAGCTTTGACCCCCGGCTCACCCTCTGGCTCTGGTGCAACCTTCCCTTTCGGAGTCCACTGAGACCCCCAGTTCTCATCAGAAGAATCACCTCCAGAAGGGCCTTGATGACCTGAAGCTCCACCTCCATCACCAGGAGGGTCTCGATCAGGAGGACCATCACCACCAGGAGGATTTCTGTCTCCAGGCTGGTCATCCTGCCCATCTTCCTGTTGGTCAGCCTCAGCGTTCGGAAAGACCTCCACCAAACCATCTTCACGGTAAACTTCAAGGTCACCATTTTGGTTGATGCGTTGGCGAGGAACTCGATCACCCTGACTGTTGAAGTAGCCAGCCTCACGCTGCGGCCAACCGTTCTAACCGAGTAAGTGACTAGTCCTTCTGGCCTCTCTGGAGCAGACGCCATAGGGCTAGGCACCGGTGCAGCTGCGGAGCCAGAAGCAGCATCTGCTGTCGTAGACGAAGTTCCCGGCGTCGTAGATGCCACGCTACGCGATGTGTCCTCCACCACTGGGCTTGGCTTCGGCACTGGCATTGGCTCTGGTGGGTTCGCCTTCAGCTTTGGCCTCAGTACCAGAGGCGGCGGTTTGTACACACCCTTGGCGGGTACTTTGGTTCTGGCACCGCGCCCTGTGCTGCTGCATTGGCTTCCGTCAGCTCCAGCTCCTCATGAGGCAAGGCCTGTCCCGGGTCAGCTTCTTCGTCTGACACTTCCACTGGGACAGCTTCCCAGCTCGGCCATTCCTCATGGTCTGCAGCTACCTCAGTTTCTTCTTCAGGCTTCTCTGGTTTCCCTTCAGTATACTCTCTGCGAGCTGCCTGCCTGGCCTGCCTGGCCTTCATAGCTTCGTGGCGTAAGGCCGACTCCTGCTGGCCGTCAAACCAGATGTTGTGTTTCGTGTCCTCCGGCTTCTCCATCTCGGCGTCCTCGCCTTCCTGCTCTGGTTGTTGGCCTTCCTTGGCTCCACCATCACCACCAGCTCCACCAGCCGCGGCAGTGGCTGGCGCAGCATCCATGGCTCCCGCGCGCAACGCCTGAACCCGGTGGCCGAACCCAGGGCAGCCCGTAGGGCAGTGGTGGCTTGACCCGAAGTCTGTGGAGAAAACGGGTCCATTCACGTGGTCTAACCTAACCTGCCACATGGAAAACTGCAGGCCACGCTATCCCCAAAACTCGATTCCCCAAAACTGGAATCCCCAAAAGAGGTGGGACTTTGGTGGTGACCATTTGAGGGGTTAATGCCAGGTTCATTTTCCCTTGGCATCTTACCAGTTGGTTGTGGGCTGGGTTCATTTTCCCTCAGCCATCCTTTTTTAACATGGGGACCATCTACAGGATTAAGGCTGGGTTCATCTTCCCTCAGCCATCTTGTAATGCTTCCGGGGTTACCGGATTCCCCAGTTGAATTGCCGGGTTCATCTTCCCTCGGCGTTCTTTTTCTTTTCAAGCAACAGAGGTGAGACTTCCATCTTTGTACAACATGACAAATTCCTGTAGCAACTGTCCTAACCTCCGAATTCGATGCTGGCTCTCTGTAACAGGCTGCCATTTTTCAAGCTCTACAGCTACAGTCAGCCCTTTCAGAGCCCATTCCCTACAAATCCCAATCTTCTTCAAGATCTCCAGGTCCTCCGGCTCGGCCATGTCGCAAAGCCCTGCAAACCTCCGGAATCTCGACCATGTAGTTCCCACCGTGATCGGCTTCGTCAGGAAATCTGCCGCAAGTTCCACACCAGCCATGTGCTTCACCTTCCACACCTCCTGCTGTACTGCTTCATGCAGTGCTCTCGAGCGCAACCTGAGATGCCTTGATCTCCAAGGCCCATTTGGGTTGAGTACCACTTGGATTCCCGATTGGGAATCTCCATATAACACTCGGACCCCTTCTTCGGTTAATCTCCCCTCCTCGAAGATGTCTACCAAAACAGCAACGGAATCACCTAGGCACATAGCGTCCACGTAAGACGTCACCTCAGCTTCCGAACTGCTCAGGGTGGCAAAACCTTGCCGCTTGCTTTCGCACTGGATCAGTCCTCCAGCCCAGACTGCCAGCAGTCCCTGGTGGGACCTCTCTCCACCCGGACCGAGCGATGCATCCGAATGAACCTCTAAGGTGTTGGCATCCCTGCAGAACGCCAGTTTCCCATCAGGCCCTCGATCGGCCTCCTGGCACTTTGTATAAAGCAACCCGTGCCCCAAGGTGCGCTTCAGATACCCCAAGGTTTGCATTCCTGCCTGGCACACCTTCCTTGGACACTTTGATGCCCGTGATCCAAGCCAGTTCACCGCATATGCCACGTCAGGCCTAGTTTTTGTACTTAGCCACAAGAGCTCACCAACGAGAGTCTGCGCTTTTCTTATGTCCGAGGGATCTGGTGGCGATTCTTCACCGTCTTCCACCCTTCCAATCGGAACCAGCGATTCCTTCACATCGGGATACCTCTCCAGAAGGTCGCTCGTGTACGATTCCTGGGACAAGAGGATGCCGCCCTTAGGGTTCAGCTTCGACTCCATTCCACAGAAACGTAGCGTACCTTTCTCTGAGAGATACTCTGCTTGAGAGCAGCTCCACTCTTGGCTCACCCTGTCCAAACACCCCTTGATGACCTCCGGTGGCCCACAGACCAAGACATCGTCTACATAGAAGGTACAAAAACCTTCTACCCGTTCATCCGAGTCCGCTCTTCCTGGCTCCTCGCTCGACACGAGTTGCCAGACATTTGGTTCGACCGTTTGACGCATCCAGAAAGACCTACCGTTTGAGCTCCACTCAAATTTCTTGACCCTTTGGTCGCGGAAGCTACTCCAGTCGGCCGGACTGGTCTCCAGGCCGTACATCGCCTTTTGGATCACCCACCGCTCTTCCGGCGGACAGATCCCAGCCTGCACCAGCAGCTTCGGTGGGATGGTCATCATCAGGCACTCCTGCTCCCTTCGGCGTGGGGCAAGCAAGAACGCGCCCTTGATATCTAGGACTCCCATGTCCCACTCATCCATCATGGCGGTCTTTCTGACCATGCATCGAATGGCGGTTGCATCAGCTCCTCCAGCGTACAAGTCCGCTGCCGTCACTGGAGTCGCCTGAGTCTTGTTGCCATCATCCTCATGAGCCTTCGTCACCAGGTTTCCACAGATCACAATCCGTGCCTTGCGTTTCCCATTTGGCGATTTAACTGTGGCAACCAACTTGCTTGGTGCTAGCTCCATGTCCCTATAGCCCGGCATTTTCTCCAGCTCTTGAAGAGTCACAGGTTTTACGGCACCGCTCTCGGTCACTTTGGTGATATTCCGCTTTGATGGGACCCACCCAGTCGTCAAGATTCTGCTTGACTGCCGCCAGAGGCACCGTATACGTCTGGAGCACTGTGGGTGGTTTGCATCCTTCCTGATGCCGCTGGTCCCCTTGGGATTGATCAGGTGCTGCCAAGGCGGCCATCCTGAACTCCCTAGCCCTTTCGGCTTCGGCTAAGGCTTGCGATTTCTCCATTTCTTCCTCCATCGCTGAGTAATGGATCAAGTCATGTTCCAGCCATTCCACTTGGCCAGCAACGTGTCCTACCACGTATCCCTGTGCTGTTCCTTCCGCCTCAGTTCCTGCCACAGAATTCACCTGTTCCTGCAACAATTTTCTGAGGTTCATGTGCTGAAACCTAATTTCCTGCACATATACTCTGGGATATCCACCTTTTTGATCTCCCCCCCAACCTGTGAGTTGGGTTCCAATCTGCAACGTCTCGATCTCCCCCCGATCTATGCATTGGGTTCCAGTCGGCAAAGACTCCCCCCCAGCTCGCACAACTCTAAGAGCTGGCATCTCTTCATCCAAGTCGGGTGGAACCTTCTCGGAATCATCCAGGACAGACGGTTCATACCCATCACTCTCCTCAGCGGCAGCAGCCGCTGGCTGAAGATCCAGCAGAGCTTCCAATTCATGATCCACCTTTGATGGCGGAGGCGGAACTTTTGATACTTCTCTGACTGGCGGCTGTTTGCCGTTCAGGCGCCGTCTTGGAGGATGTTTGGGATCTTCCACTGCTTCCAGCTCCAAACGAGCAGTGTCACCCAGAGGATCCGGAACAAACACAGATCGTGCATGTTGCACAAGGTTGGCTGTTTCATCCAGCGCCACCCATCCATTGGTCATTGAGGGCGATGGCCCCATGATACGCAAGGTCTTGTAAGGAGAGGACAAAGCTCCTTCACGCAACCGATGCCAGCGCTTGGCCTTCACTTGAGCCAACACTGCAAACGGCGGCATCTCCTTACAATTGACCCCCAGCTTCCTCATTTGAGAGCGCAACCTTTCTTCGGTATCATGTCTAGCCGCACACGGCCAGTACGCAGGGGCGACACCAGTCTCCCGCAACAGCAGCCTTAGCCGGCGCTTGAACTGATGCACCTCCCCTTCGACCCTTCCGTTGGCCTCGGGCTCGTCCCCGGCATTCAAAGTTTGGTGAATCTGCCGTGATTCACACCACTTGGCAATGCTTTTGGTTGTGAGAGACCTTTCGCGGTCCGAATGCAGTCGGTACACCGGTATCCCTAAGGACCGTGCCCGAGCATGCAGCTTCGACAATGCCTTTGTAACCTCATCCTGATGCCTGGATGCAATGGGTTCCATGAACGTTATGTTCACCACAGGAACCTCCTTTGAGATTTCGTGGACTTCCTTTTTCACATAGTCCTCCCAAGCCCGATTTCGCTTCTTGGCGTCGGCTTCTGGGATCAGATCCTTCGGCTCTGGATCCAGCAGCAGTTCATCCGCTTCCTCTTCCACGGGTGGAACTACAGCTTCAGGCTGTTCCTCCCCTGGAGGAGCTTCGTCTCCCCCCTTTGGAGCCTCCTCAGAATCAGCCTCTGAATCTACCTTTGGGTCTTTCGGCGAGATCTCTGTCTCCCCCAGAATTGGCCACTGAGGCACTGGAATGGTCGCGATCAAGGCGTACTTCACTTTTCTGCGCTTGGAGACGCCCAGATCGGTGCCCTTGGTGAAAGGACCACATATATCCACTGACATAACGAAAGCAAATTCTTGACCCTTTTTCCTTCGATGCGGCTCGGCGGAGCCCATGGTTTCCAGGCAGACCTTACAGTCTCGCCTGTACGGCACATGCTGTGCCTGGAGATGGCGTTTCCATCCTGCGAGGTCCAACTTGCTCAGCATTGGTTGCTGAGCCTGACCTTGGGAATCACGACCTTGAGAGCAGCCATAAGACCCGGAGCCCATGTTGACCACGTGACCGTCTGCTTCAGCCTCTCCTTCAGATCCGACTGAATCTCTTTTCCAGATCCACTCGAAGTGATCCCATCTAGCTCCTTCAGGACAACAACATGGTCGGTTTGGGCCTTTGATGCCCCAGCACTCCCTGATCCACTCTGATCTGGAACATGTCCTGGTGGCGTTGGAGGAATCCTACTGTCTCCTCCCACTCCCAGAATGATGGATACTCCTTCCCGTCATCCACATACTCTTGAGGATCTTGGGGATTCTCCACCACAAGGCCACATCGACCCGAGAGCCCATTCTCGGCCATCCCTTCCTGGGATCTTTCATAAAGACCCAAGGTCTTCAGCCATAAGGCGGCATCTCCATCCGGAACCAAAAGGCACCAAATTGGAACCAGAAAGGATTAAATTAACTTAGCCTTTATTGCGACAGTGATTTTCCGTGGGGACTGATGACGTACAATTCCCTTCGTTCCATTCAAGATCAAGATCGCCTCTTTCGGGAGCTCAACTCGCGAATTGTTAGGCGCCATGGCAAAGTGGTCATACGCGGAGAAGTCGTTATTCCGTCGCTGCTTGCGCGCCTGTTACAACATCGCGGTTGACTGTCGGAGTCTCCGTCCGCGCTGTCCTTTTTATGCGGCCCTCCGAACGCATCTGCTTCGGTGGTCTGCACAATCGCTGTCTAGACGATCAGCTGCTCCATGGCTGGTTTGCGATTCTGTGATCTCGTCGGCGCCTACTCGATGCTGGCAACTCCGTTTGATGAACCATGCTATGAGGCTTGCTTCCGCTGCTGGTCTACCGGCTGAGTGGGTCGACGCTGCTTGGTGATGGCCACCTTCGAAGAGTCGCGGCGATACTTGAAAAGAGGTTCTCTTACTTTGGTGCTTTTTGAAGTTGTGCAACTTACAACTTGGCTTATAAGTGCACCAAGTGGAGCTATATATACGCCAAATGAATTTATAATGCATCTAACCCTGAGCATGTTGAGTTATAAGTCACGGCTAAACTATAAATGGTTAGCTCAGACTTAGGCCACTTAGTAAATGGCCCGAGGACCACCTGGCTAAGTGCTTATAAGTGGGTTAGCTAAGTTCTGTAAGTCCTTCGTTTTTCTCGTGGGTTTCAGAATTTCGTCGCCTGAACATTTTTTTTGGCGAATTTGAAAAGCCAAACAAATCACAAAATCAAACTTTTTCTCCAAGTTTGAACAGCCAACCAAGTCACACAATCAAACACAGGAAATCTGAGTTCAGCCTTTGTCCTGCCTGCAGCTGTTTTTCAAGCAAGCACTTGCAAAGCGAAAAAACGGACGACGATCGCCCAAAAGTAAGCCGAGGCTAGCCCGGCACATATATCGGGTCGAGGCTCGCCCGACCCATGGCGCAGCAGAGTTCAAGCTCTTTGCATGCGCACCTTGGTCCCATTCCTGTTCGGGGAACCATCACAAGTGAGCAGCGGGAGCAGATCAAAGCTGCCACGTCTTGCTCCGCGGCAGTCAGGGAGCGGAACCAGTGGGGCGCCCGAATGCTGACTGTCACTGGCCCAGCCAACGGGCTGCAAGAAGCCCATACCATGGCCCTGAAGTTCATACAGGAGAACGGTGAAGATAAGGGTCGTGCAGATCCTGTTGCTGCCAGTGCCAAGAATGAAAGCAAGAAGAAGTGGCATGGTTCCTGGCACTCCTGGTCCACTTGGGATGCTGACAAATGGGTTCCGAGAAGCGAACATGAGGAGCTGCAAAACCGCCTCAAAACAGCGGAAGGGACCATTGCTGGTTTGCAGTGGCGTATGAGCTGCTGGGAAAGCTGGCACTACTACCAAGGGCAACCCAGCTACGGCTATGTGTACCAGAGTGCAGAGGCTCGCCCTGCACGTGAGCCCCGTGCAGAGCCTTGCCCGGGAAAAGATGAAAGAGATGAAAGAGACCGCGCCCGAGACCCCAGCAGGACCTATGACCGACGTGACACCGTGTCACCTTCGGAAGAAAGCAACAGGACGCTCCTGCCTGAAGAGACACACACAAAGGAGTCTCATGCCAAAAAGCGCAAGAAGAAGAGGAAGGACCGCCAGCGATGGTCTGAGGATACGGGGCATGGGGATCAGCATGATCAGCGGCATTGGCAGAGGAAGAAGTGAGGCTCGCCCATCTCTTGGCACGAGGCTCGCCCGCGCACTAAAGAATCTTGACACTAGCAGAATGAGCGCTAGCGTGAAAATGGCTGGCAGCCTTAACTTTCCCAAGTTGACCGTTGAATTTCGTCGTTCTGTCTTCACAGCGCATGTGGGCAAGTTGTGGCAATCTGTGCTTGTGCATGACCGCAGCCATTTTAGCAGGTTCTTTTCCAGGAAGAAGCTGGAGGAAGGCTCGTCCTCTTCCGTGAAAAAATGGAGGAAGGCTCGTCCTCTTCCGTGGCAAGAAGGCTTGTCCTCTTGTTTCTGACATGAAGAGAAAAAGGCCCAATTTTGACACCTTTGTTCCTCCGACTGTGACTTTGAGCGTGGCGGCACGAACATCTGGGGGAGACAGAAACCAGCTCCGTAAAGGTATCATCAGGCCTTTGCTGGAGGATTCCGTGTACGGGCACATTCTCCAAAAGTGCCCTATCCAATTCACCAACGGCGAGGCATATGAATGGGAATACATAAACCCGTTTGCTCTCATTCACCAATATACTTCAGCCCGACCACGTTTTGGTGATATGCTGCGGGGGGCTGGGTCCGTACGAATCTCTTTTTACATGGATGAAACTACACCAGGCAATGTGCTTCGCCCAGATCATGGTCGATCACTGGCGTGCTTCTACTGGACATTGATGGAACTACCGTCCTGGTTTCGGAGCCGCCACTGTGGCTGGTTTTATTTCGGGCTTTTTCCTCTGTCGCTGGTGGAGCACGTAGCAGGTGGCTATTCTTTCCTGTTTGCCTTCATGGTGAAAACATTCTTTGGCAAAGGATTGCTAGCATGGGATTTCGACAGGACAGGCATTTGCTGCAAATCAAGTGGTGGAGACTTCATTTTGAAAGCGCGTTTCGGGGCCCTACTTTCAGACGAGAAAGCAATGAAAGAGCTCTGGTGCACGAAAGGTGCTAGTTCCTACAAGCCTTGCCACCTGTGCAAGAATGTGATGGGCCGGGTGGACCTGCCAGACCGCGGCTACTTGGCGCACTACACTTGCACAGATTCAAGCCGCTTTGATTTGCATACTGCTGACAGTTTCCGGACTATGGCACAGAATCTGAAGCTTGAAGCTGGCAACCTGAGCAAAAAAGACTTCGAGCGATTGGAGCAATCTTACGGGCTTGTTTTCGACCCTCTTGGCATCTTGTGGTGTGAAGATTTGGGAGGCATTGTCAACCCTGTATCACACACCTACTGGGACTGGATGCATATATTGATGGCCTGTGGTGGGATTGCTCAGTATGAGTTCAATCAATATGCTAGGCGCCTTTGCAGTGCTGGCGTGTCCTTGCGGGCCCTTGACGATCTTGCTGCGGAGATTGTGTGGCCAAAGGGTGCTTATTGGTCAAAGAAATATTTCCAAAAGCGTGTGGTGGATAAAGACGGTGCCCATTTAAAGGCGTTTGCCAATGAGCTTTTCCAGTTGACGGACATTTGGCGCTTAATACTCCAGCTGGTGGTGCGCCCGGCTGGCATCCTGGAGCTGGAAACCAGAAGTTTAGAGAGCATGATGAAAATCATTGACATTTTGTCAATGCAGGAAGAGGCGTTGCCTCTTGTTGGTGACTTGGAAATCGAAATTGCCCAGCACCACGCTTGGTTTCTAGAACTTTACCCGGATTGCAACAAGCCGAAAACACACTGGCTACGACATGTTCCGTCCTTGTTCAGGGAGTTTGGCTGCAATCTCAGCTGCTTCAGCCCTGAGAAGAAGCACAAGGGAGTGAAGCAGCTGGCGCTTTTGATTTCTGCCAACGTTGAGAAAGGAGTCTTGTACCGCGCAGTTGCAGAAAATTTCTCTTCTTTCTCCAATGATGAAAATATGCTGCGCCCTATTTTCCTGGAACGGGCGCAGGACATGGAAGCTGAGTGGCTGCGGGCATTCTATCCGGACATGCAAGAAGCGAAGGTTTCAAAGACACTGCGTTTTGAAGGTGGGCGGGTGTCAGCATCAGATATGCTATGGTTTCCGGCTACAAAGCACCTTGCTCAGGCATCCTTCTTTTTGCAGGTTCGGCTTTTGAACACCTCTGAGTTCTTGATCCACGGGGACTTATATCAGCAGGTTCGGGACAGCAATACTTTTCGAAGCACTGGCGTTGCCAGGCTTTTTGTTTGCACTAAGGACATGGTGCCAATTTCTTTCTGCAAACGAAATGGCGGAATTTGTCCTTGTGTGAGGCTCGCCCACACGAACTGAGCCAGGGCATTTAGCTGAGCGAGTAAATGGCACTGGTCGACCCCTGTATATATGTATATATATATAACTTTGTACATACCCTATATGTAAACTTTTAAAATAAACATATATATATATATATATATTATAATATAATTATATATACTATTTTGTCAGACATGCAAATGTCAATATCTATGTACAACATATAAACCAGTTTAAACCCTATGTGCTTTGTGTTAAGGAAGATCCAACCCTTCATACTACCCCTCACCAGTTCATGCCAAATCTATGGAGTGCTTCTTTGGGTCACAGTGCTGTGCTTGTTTTGCAGAAGGTATGCACCAACATGCGACCACGTCAGTTCTTTGTAGTCGCAGCAGCCATATATACCCACAAACCCGAGATTTGACTTCAGATCTTTGAAAGGCTCGCCTTCAATCTTTGCAAGGCTCGCCTGCAGAGACTTGCGCCATGAGCGCCGCTAGCGAAGTGCCTGCTACTGCCACTGCAGAAGCTCTCCCCGAATCTGCGGCCAGTGAAGCTACCGAAGCGGCTTCTCCAGCTGAGACGGCAACATCTTGTGCAGAAACGCCTAGTGGCGTAGTTCCTCTGGACAAGGTGGAGACCGGCCCTGGACTTCCAGCAGAAAATTTGTGTCCCACCTGCAGGAAGCCTGTCTCTGAGGAGAATGGTGTGGTTGTGGCACGGGCAGTGGGGAAGACAGCTACTTCTTTGCGCTGCAGGGCATGCCACAATTTAAAAAGTAGGATCAACCGGGTGTTGAGCCACTATGGCTCATTGGCCCAGGATTGGACGAAGGTAACTGAAAATGAGAAGAAAGAGTTTTTACAAGAAGTACAAGGAGCAGGCGGGACCGGACCTTCTGACCAGGCTCCAGGAGACAGTGACGGAAAGCAAGAAGACCAGCAGCGCCGTCTCCTTCGAGGGCACCGGCGATTTCCTGGACGAGATAGATTTGGAGGAGAAGTACAGGAACAAGCCAGATCAATTGGCCGCTATTAAGGCCAACACCCGGACCTACTTCTGTCCAGTTCGACAGGTGCAGCTTTTCGAGGATGTGAAATATAAGCGCACGGCTGTGGAGACCGAGGAGTACGCGAAGGTGCAGAAGCGCAAGAGGCAATCAATTCCTCTTGAACAAGGTGAACGTGATGAGACGGCTGCAGATTCGAGCCAATGCAAGAAGGGCAAGAAAGAAGCAGCCAAAAGTGAGCTGCCGAAGTTGAAGGCTGGAGGCAAGAAAAAGATTTCCAAGAAAGTGGAACTGATGAACGCAAAGAAGCTGCAGCTGATGGATTGGAACTGCAAAGCGCGTGGTGACAAAGTCAAAGACTTGGTGCCTGGCTATGTCGTGAAGGCTTCCACAAAGCTGGTGGATGACGCTGTGGCCTTTGGGGTTGAATGCGACAGCATTCTTGAAAGTGGCCATGGCGACGCAGATGAGGTCATCAAGAAGGCAGACTCTTTCATGGAGCAGCTGACAGAGATGATGGGCTGCGTCAAGTGCCAAGTGGATCAGGCGCATGCTTTTGTTGCCACTGGTGCGAGCGGCCAGGAGTGAGGCTCGCCCGCTCAACTTCCAGAGGCTCGCCCTGAAGGCGGCAAATTTTGACAGCACGGGGATTCCTTATGAGGAGAAAGGAAAATATCCCGTTCTTTTTGTTTGCAGAAAAAAAAATCAAAAAACGAAACATTTTGGGCCGTATCGGGGCCGTATCGGGGCCGTATCGGGGCCGTATCGGGATGACTTTGGATACCCGGCCTTATTGGGACCATTCTCTTTCAAAAAATGAAATGTGAAAGTCACGGGTTTTTGGTGGCGCTCCGCGTGTGCAACTTCCACTGTGTATGAATTTGGGAATGGGCAAAATCACACGAGCTCAAAGGCCAGCCTTTGAAGCGTGACAAAAATATAAGTGCAAGCCGTAAAGAACACAAAAAGCGTCCAACACCCGGCCAAACACGTACTCCCCAGCGCGCACTTGGCTCACAAAGTCTCTGTGAAAGGCTCGCCTTCACCCATGGAAAGAAACGCTCCTGCACGCACGACTCAGACTGAGATGGCTGGAGGTCCCCCCCAGCTAGGTGGAGGCTCGCCCCAGCTGCAGACATGCGACGGCTCGCCCCAAAGAAAGCGAAGGAGCGGAGGTGAAGAAGCGCCGCGCAAGCAGCCACGCAGCTCCAAAGATTTATCCCCTGTTTCAATGGGCGCTGAAACTTTGACCCTCGACTTTTGGGAAGACAGAGACATAGAGGTGGGCGAGGACACCCAGCAATTCCCTGAGAATCCATCGATCGACTATGAGCTTGCATACACAGACTGGATGTTGTCCCAGTTGTCTGAAAAGGATGGCACGTGCAAGTGCAAATGGGTAACCCATGGCACTCGCTGGCATCGATGGGTTTGCTTTGGCATCGATGGGTTTGCTTTCTCTGCAAATATCCGGGACCCCAATGAGGCGCTTTCCTCCAGAGCCACCCCGAAACGCACGAGCCATGAACGGCGGCAGTTAGTTTAATTAAACCGTGAGGCTTGCCCACGTGATGCGCAGTGCAATCTAGTATATGATGCAATTTTTGCAAGAAAGAGAAAAATGAACAATCTGCTTTTCTTTTGGCTTACAAGGCTTTTTCCAGCTTGTCAGCTTTGGCGCATGTCAACAGGTCTACTTTCCCAACCACAATGTGCATTTTGACAAATGCAACAGCAGGAAAATAGCTGAAGCATCTGTTTTTCTTTGGCCCACATCTGCACACATACTTACAAACACCACAGTGTATATACCCAGCAAGCACGGCTCAAGAAAGCATTAGCTGTTTTGGTTTGAAGATGGGGTCGGAGGTTTTAGTTCTGCCGCGAAGCCGCAATGTACTGGGCTTAAAGCTAGAATTTCGGCACATCTGTAGGCTGCGGGGGCAGTCCTAGCCATCCACATTAGCAATGGGCTGTCATGCTGCGGAATAGACGGTGCTGGTTGGTCACTCCGAGCTATGGGGGTGCCCTTTACACCAAACAACGTATACGACCTGGAGACGCGATACAAGGAGTACTGGCAGGGCATGGTTGAAGAAGGCTCGCCTCTTCATTTCGGAAAGCACAATGGTGACATTGTCCAGGTCCAGCTGTCGGACTTGGAGCGCCCGGTGCATGTGCTTTGCAGTGGCCCGCCATGCCCGCCTTGGGCAGGAAATGGCAACAAGAAAGGTGTGGAAGACTTCCGAGCAAAAGCTTTTCTGGCTATTGTGAATATAGTGGCTTCGCTAGCCAAGTGTGGTGAGCTGCAAGCAGCGATCTTGGAAAATGTCCAAGGCATTTTACACCGCCAAGGTGGCGAAGAAAGTTTCATGTCAAAGCTTCTGCACATTTTGCAAGAAGAAGTGCAGGAATTTCTCTGGCAGGTGGACACCCTCAAGGCGGTGGACTACAAGCTAGCACAGGACAGAACGCGTGTGTTCTTGCGTGGGATCCGGAGCACGTTGTGCCCAAGCGGGGCG